GAGCTTCTGCTGCAAGTGCACGGAGATGTTGAAGGGAGCAGGGGAAAAGTGGTGCGCGACTTGTGACAGATGGGCCGAGATGGTCTCCAGAGTGGCGGGGGCCGAGTCCGAAAGAGTCAGAGTGTTCGTGCGGACAAGCAAATGCGACAGGTGCGCAGGGCCACCAGCCCGGAGGAAGTCGCGGAAAGAGTCTCAGGGGTGGCAGCAGAATGTGCGAGACAAATTCAAGATCCGTTGCGCTGAATGCTGTGAATTCGTGAAGACGGAGGCAGAAATTTCGGCGAACCAGTGCGCTACGAAGGGCGCAGGGGAGAAGCTCTGCAAGAAGTGCGCAGGGAAGAGGAAAGGCGGATGGAACAAGTGGGGCCAATCGCAGAAGAAAACGGAGTGGATGAATGCAACGAACACTGCTCGACAAAGCGCGCGCCGGGAACAGCCGCTGAGGTGTTCGGAGCGCCCAAAAGACACAGACGGAAGAGGGCGGGAATTCACGGACGCGGCGCATCTGACAACAGAACAAGTCAACCACTATTATAAAACGGGCGCAGCCCATAGGCCAGTGAAATGCCGCGACTGCGACGCGCATCGCAAGCGGTCGCGGGTGTTCAGGTGCTCCGCGTGCCCGAAAGAAACAGATGGGAAAGAGCGAGAATTCACGGGCAGGACGCACTTAACATATAAGCAAGCGAAGCATTTCTTCGCGAAGGGTTCGGACCATCGCCCAGTCAAGTGCCGCGCGTGCCAGGAAGAACGCAATCAGCCGCGAGCGTTCACGTGCTCCGCGCGCCCCAAAGAAGCAGATGGGACAGAGCGAGAATTCACGGACAGGGCGCATCTGACGGGTAAGCAGGTGGAGCACTTCTGCGCGATGGGCTCGGAGCATCGCTCGGTGGTGCGCCGAGCGTGCCACGAGCAAAGGCAGGTGGCGAAGAAGTGGGAATGTTCCGCATGTCCCCTGAAGAAGGACGGATCAAAGCCTACGTTCGCTGACGGCGGCCATCTGTCGATAGCCCAGAAGAAGAGTTATTTCCACCGAGGCGCTCTGGTGGTTTGCGCCGCGTGCTATATGGCGGGACGGGCGCCGCGGAAAGACCCGCCGAAACGCCCTGCGGAGGCAAGTGACGAGCGCGGCGGGAAGCAGCGCAAGTTGCGAGGAATCTAACCGCGAGTCGCGCGCGCGTCGTCTTCGAAGCTCTCTTGGGCCGTCCTCGGCCTCTCTGGGCCCGTCTTGGCGCCCTCTTGGCCTGTCGCGGGGCCCTCGTGGAGGCTTCTTGGACCGTCTTGGCGCGGTCTTCGGAGGCTCTCGGGCCGCCCCGGAGCGCCCCGGAAGGCGCGCGTGCGAAAAATTACACGTTTTACGAAAAGAACGGGCGATTTTATACAGCGAAAGGCCTTCCAGGGGCGCATAGTGAAAGCCTCGTGGGGCGTCTTGGGGGGCCTCTGCAGCCGTCGGGAGGCCGTCGTCAGCGTTTTGGATCGCTCTTGGACCGTCGAGGACCATGTGGAGCTCTCGTCGAGGCCGCTCGGACCGCTCCTGGAGCGCTCTCGGAGCCGTTTTCGGAGCCCTTTTGGGCCGTCTTGGACGTGTGTTGGCGCGTCTTGGGGCCCTCGAGGGCTCTGTGGGGACCCTCTTGGGGGCGTCTTGGGCCGTCTGGGAGCGGGTTTGGGTGGCTCTGGGGCCGTCCAGGAGCGGGTGGCACCCCAAAAGGCGCACGTGTGAAACAATATACGTTTGACGAAGGAAACGAAGGATTTTTTGCGTCTAGAGGCCCTCTTGGGGCGCATCGTGGATGACTCTTGGGGCGTCTTGGGGGCCTCTTCAGCCGTTTGGAGGCCGTCGTCAGCGTTTTTGATCGCCCTTGGACGGTCGAGGACCATGTGGAGCTCTCTTCGAGGCCACTCGGGCCGCTCCTGGAGCGCTCTCGGGGCCGTTTTCGGAGCCCTTCTGGGCCGTCTTGGACGTTAGTTGGCCCCCCCTCGAGGGCTATGTACGGACCCTCTTGGAGGCGTCTTGGACCGTCTGGGAGCGGGTTTGGGGGGCTCTGGGGCCGTGCAGGAGCGGGGGTCACCCTCAAAGGCGCACGTGTGAAATAATATACGTTTTACAAAGGAAACGAACGATTTTTTGCGTCTAGAGGGCCTCTTGGGGGGAATCTTGGATGCCTGTGGGGGCGTCTGGGGAGGCCTCGTGAGCCGTCGGGAGGTCGTCGTCGATGTTTTTGATCGCTCTTGGACCGTCTGGGACCATGTGGAGCTTCGGGGAGGCAACTCGGAGCGCTCCTGGAACGCTCTTTGGATCCGTTTTCGGAGCTCTCTTGGGCCGTCTTGGACGCCTGTTGGCCCATCTTGGGCCTTCTAGGGGTCTGTGGGGGACCCTCTGCGAGGCTTCTGGGGCCGTCTGGGAGCGGGTTTGGGAGCCTCTTGGGCCGTCGGGGAGCATCGGAAAAATCCAAAGCTGAATTTCTAAAAAATGTACATTTCACAATGGGAATGGCCCAATTTTGGCGTCTAGGGACCCTTGTGGAACGCATCTCGGAGGCCCTCGGGGGAGCTCGTGGGGACCTCTTCTGCCGTCGAGGACGCCTCGTGGCCCGTCTTCGGGCAAACTTGGACGTCTTGGAGCGCTCGTGGGGCGTCCCAAACCCATTTCGAGGCCACCAGACGCGTCCCTACACGAATTTCACGTGTTTTTCAATGTTTTTCGGGAGCGGATGAGACCTCCGGGGGTTCCGGGCCGTCCGGGGCCGTAGGCCACCAGACGCGTCCCTACACGAATGTCGTGTGTTTTTCCACGTTTTTCATGAGCGGATGAGACCTCCGGGGGATTCCGGGCCGTCCGGGGCCGTCCGACCTGATGATGCTGATGCTGATGGTGATGTTGATGGCGATGGCGAAGGTGACGGTGATGATGATGATGCTGATGATGATGACGATGATGATGATGTTGATGATGATGATGATGATGATGATGATGATGATGATGATGATGATGATATGATGATGATGATAATGACGACGATGATGATGCTGACCATGATGATGATGATGATGCTGATGATGATGCTGATGATGATGATGAGGCTGATGGGGATGATGATGATGATGATGATGCTGAAGATGATGATGATGATGATGATGATGATGATGATGATGATGATGATGACGATGCTGATGATGATGATGATGCTGATGATGATGACGATGATGATGAGTATGATGATGATGATGATGATGATGATGATGCATGATGATGATGATGTGATGATGATGATGCTGATGATGATGATGATGATGCGATGATGATGATGATGATGATGATGATGATGATGCTGATGATGATGATGATGATGATGATGATGATGATGATGATGATGATGATGATGATGATGATGATGATGATGATGATGATGATGATGATGATGATGATGATGATGATGATGATGATGATGATGATGATGATGATGATGATGATGATGATGAGGAGGTGGAGGAGGAGGAGGAGGAGGAGGAGGAGGCGGAGGAGGAGGAGTATTAGGAGGAGGAGGTTACGGACGACGAGTGGGGAGCAGAGGGAGGGCGAGGGGGATGGTGAGGATGAGAACGAGCGGGTTCAGCGGGGGGAGCACGTGAGAACGAGCAGGCGTAGGAAGAGGACAAGGATGACGTGGATAAGGGGAGGAGGATAAGCAGGAGGAGGGGAAGGAACAGGAGGAGGACGAGGAAGAGGGGGAGGGGGAGGGGGAGTGGGAAGTGGGAGGAGGCTCTGCTTCGGCTGGGTCGTCGACGAGCATGCCGGGAGGAGGCTGTGGAAGGAAGGGACGGTAAGGAGTAGGAGGAGGAGGACAGCATTGCTCTTGCTGGCCCACATCGTCCCCGCGTATGTGGAGAAGCCCAAAGTGTGGCGTTGGGCGCGAGTGGACAGAGTCGTCCATTGCGGCCAGGAGTTGGACGCCCGAAATATGTACGCGCGGTTGTGGATAGGCCCAGGTGGTGGCGTTGGGCGCGAGTGGACAGATTCGTCCATTGCGGCCAGAATTTGGACACCCGAAATGGGTACGAACAAATGGTACGATGCCCAACAACAAGTGCTGTCTAAAATTAATCGCGGCCGCTGTTGGGCAGGCGGCCTCCTGTCTCAGATAGGCAAGGCCCGCCTTGGCACCGACAGCAAAATCCGTCCAACATGTACAGGAACTGCTGTCGGTCTTCGTCCCCAGTCTTTCTGTACCAGCTTCGATCGTGTGGACAGAAGGAGGAGGGAGGAATAGGAGCAACGCAAGGAGGTGCTCAGAGGGAGTAGAGGGGGGGGGGATGGGGAGGGATCGCCTCGACGTTTTCGCTACTTTCTTTGGTCTCCGTCGTCCCTCTTTGGTCCGTGATTCCCTTCACCGTCCTTGTCAGAGGGTGCTCCAGGAGGGATGGGCTAAGAAGACAGGAGGTGGATGAGGAGTTGGGGGACTGTAAGGCAGCTCCTCCTCTTGCGGCTGCTCCTCACCCCCTCCCACCTGCTTTCTCCTTACCCTTCCCCTCCCGCCCTCCTCCTCCCTCCTCCTCCTCCTCCTCCTCCTCCTACTCCTACTCCTACTCCTACTCCTACTCCTACTCCTACTCCTACTCCTACTCCTACTCCTACTCCTCCTCTCCTTCCCACTCTCACCTGCTGAAAAAACAACTCAGCATTTTTGCAATGTGGTCTCTCCCCTGACTACGTTCTGAACGTGACCCACCCCCACCATTCTTCTTTATTAGACGCATGATTCCATTATTTGTTTTTGCTGTTCCAATCGGAGCGTGTTCGGTGTGTCAAAACGGTGCTCCCGCTGAAGCGTTGGCATCATTTCAGGGTCGTCGCTGTGCTCCCGTCGCCCAGATCGGCACTCTCGCCCCAGCGCGGGCCACTTTTTTGGATCCGAGTCCTTCCTCCTCGTTGTCGCTCCCCTCCTTCATCCTGTGAGTAGCTCCACGGGTGAGATGGGGACAGGAGACGGAGCCGAGCCCAGGAGTTCACCGCCGATATGCCCCGCGACGGGGCGGGGCGGCTTCTCCTGGACTTCGACCCGCGCTGCTTCAGGATCGTCGTCGAGCACTTGCAGAACAGGAGGCTGAACAGCAACGCCCCGCTGCCCGTGGTGCCGTCTTCTCTGCGAGGTATCATGGAGCCGCTTGCGGAAGCCTGGGGCCTCGCGCCTTTCCTGCTCCAGAACAGGCTGAACCTGTCCCACGGCACGTCGCTCAGCGTCATCGGCAGGGAGGTCAGGTCGACGCACCACGGCTGGCAGCTGATATCGGCGCAGGACCCGCTGCCGCTGTCCGCGCCCTCCTATTTCGAGGTCAGGGTTCTGGAGAGCCCCGACCCCTCCAGCAGCCTCGTAGTGGGCGTCTGCGGGCGGATCTTGCGGGCGAGCGAGGCCCACACAGTCGTCCAGCAGGGCAGCGCCATGTACAACAGCGCCTGTGGAGTTATCGGCGACTGTGTCGAGAGCGCCGAGGTGATCAGGCATCCGTAGGAGGCACCTGTACACCACCGTGCCAGGCCAGGGCGGCCCTGGGCCTGGTAGGTTGGTGCGCAGACCCTCCATGCCGAGGCCAATGAGGGTTTGCAAGGCCGCTGTCCCCTGAGGCCCAGGCTGGCCCTGGCCAGGGACGGTGGTGGTGTACTAGCCGCCCTCTGCGGACAGGCAGGGGTTTCAGCTGACGGCGGGCTCCGCGTTCGGCGTGCGCCGCAGCCCGGGAGCCGGCAGCCTGGAGTGGTACCACGACGGCGAGCTGATCGGCGAGTGCCGGTTGAAGCAGGCCCGACGGCCCGGCCACCGCTCCCTCCCGCTCCACGCCCGGGCCTCGAGGCGTCGCGAAGATAGTAGCGACAATTGTCGCGACGTGCAGTTTTTCGTTGTTGGTGCTGCCGGCTTCCTCACAGAGCGATCCGGCTCGAAAAAATGTGCAGAAAGGTGGGGTCCCGGGCTCTGGTCGCGATTTCTCACGATGTTCTTATTGCTAAGGCCTTCCAGCTGGTGCCGCTGAACCTGGACGACGACCCCCACGATGCAAGAGGCAAGCAGGAAGGCCAGGATCAGACGCTCCCATGAGTGCCCATGGGGCTACACGAGGCACTCAAGAGGTGTCCAAGAGCCCCCACGAAGTCGGGAAGGTGTCTAGGGAACCTTTCGGGAGCCTCCTCTGACAACGACGGCGACGACGACGCCGACGACGGCGACGACGACGACGACGAGTCTGGGACCCCCACGAGTCGGTCGTCGGTCGTCGGTCGTCGGTCGTCGGTCGTCGGTCGTCGGTCGTCGGTCGTCGGTCGTCGTCGTCGTCGTCGTCGTCGTCGTCGTCGTCGTCGTCGTCGCCGTCGTCGCCGTCGTCGCCGGCGCCGCCGCCGCCGCCGCCGCCGCCCCTCGGCGCGGAGGGCCCGCACGCGGGTGCCGCCTTCTCCCCCAGGAGTGGCTTGAGCTCCCGCGCGCGCTGTACCCCGTCGTCGGCCTGTGCGACGTCGGGCAGGCGGGCCCTTGGCCCTCGCCCTCGCTCCCGGGAGGGAGAGAGGGTGGCGCCACACTGAGATCCCGGCGTCGGAGTTTCCTTCTCCTCCTCCTCCTCCTCCTCCTCCTCCTCCTCCTCCTCGTATACTGCTTTCCTCTCTCCCCTGACGCTGTCTGGAAGATCTCCGGCCGCCCTCCGCGTTCTGTGTTTTACACAGGGTTCGGCCGGGTTTTTAGTTTTGTCATGCGCGTTGGTACAATCCCATAGTTTCTGGCGCTTCAAAACGGTACTCCCGCTGCAATTTGGGCCTCATTTGCGGATCGGCGCTTTGCTCCCGTCGTTCAGAATGGCGCTCTTGCCCCAGCGCGGGCCACACTTCTGGATTTGTCTACTTTGCCGCCCTCCTCCTTTTCCCTCCTCCGCCTTCCACTGGTCCACCTGCTCCTTCCGTTCCTTCCGGTCCAGCTCCTGCTGCTGCTGTTCGTTTTCGTCCTCCTTCCTCCTCCTCCTCCTCTTCTTCCTCCTGCTCATCCTCCTGCTCATCTGCCACCTCCTCCTCCAACGCACGCAGCTCCTTATTTTCCGATTTCGCATAACACGACGGGGTCGTCTTTGGAGTTCCAGGTCCGCTATGACTCGCGTCGGCGGATAGAGAACTAACTTTTCGGTCGCAGCGCGGCAGAGGCAATCCGCACGCGCGTCCGAGCGAAACCAGGGCGCGGAGTCGCCAACCAGCCCGCAAGCAAGAAGGGGAGGGGAAGAGAGGAAGCGGCCGCAGAAGGGGGGGGAAAGGCGCGGGGACGCACTCAGCGAGGCTGCGGCGGGTGCGTGGGCGCAGCCTGGTTGAGGGGACCACCCTGGCAACGGCTGCGGGTCGGCGGCGCAGTGCGCCCAGGGAGGGGAGCCAGCAGCCACAATGTAGGCGATACCCAGCAAGTCGGAGAGCGGAAGTGGCTGGCGGCTGGAGGGTCAGGACGCCGGCTGGGGGGAGGCAGCGGCGCGGGACCGGCAGCGACAGGAGGTGCGCCAGCGCTGCAGGAGCTGCGAGAAGCCCAAAGCGGCGGATGGCGCGGCGGTCCCGAAGCAAGGGTGGACCGACAGGGCATCCCGTCGTAGGGCGGGGGAACAAAGCAGAGGCAGGAGAGAAGTAGGAGCGTCACTCCGCAGCTGGTGCACGACATCACAGCAGGGAAATGCGCGTCGCCCAGTGTAAGTGGCGCACGGGGGGGGCCCCTCAGAGCGAAAGGACGAGTCCAGCCGGCCGTCGCAGAGGAGGGCGAAGGGAACAGCGGGAGGCGAGCCGCAATGGCGGTGGCCCCTAACGGGGCAGCGAGACTGCGGCCGGGGCAAGACCACCAGTGCGCGCAGAAGATGCAAGGCGCCGGCATGACCAGGTGTGCGCATCGTTCGTTAGGCCAGAGCGGTGCGCGGGGGGGGGGGCGTGCCAGCCCGAGGCTGGTGCACGGCATCGCGACCAGGGTCGGCGGGAGGGGTCGAGCCGCTTCGCGGAGCCGACCGGCGGGAGGACCGCGACTGGCGGCCGCCGGGGCGGCGAAACGGGAGGTGAACCGCAACGGCGGAGACCCCCAAGTGGGGCAGCAGATGTTGCAGACAGGGGTGCGGACCCAGTAAGCCGCACGGATTGATGGCGGCAGCACTGGCGGGGGGGGGCCCAGCGCGCGGCTCGCTTGGCGAGGGCGGTGATCCAGGAGCAGGGGCAGGGCGAAGCGGAGGAGAAGGGGGGGGCGCCCAGGCGCGGCTGCGCACGACCTGGGTGGACGATGCGCGGGAGCCTAGGCGGCGGGCGCGCCGGGGAGGCGCGGCAGAGAACCCCTCACTGGTGCGCTTCCTGGTGGGATAGGTCGCGGTAGCGGGCGGCGCCCTCCCAGGTTGGAAGGGCGCAGACGCCACCAAAGGCAGAGCCAGGTGAGCCAGGTAAAATGGAAACACATAGCTGGTGCGCATGCTGGTGGGAGACAGGGGTTGCTGTGGCCTCCTGGGTTGGAAGGCTCGCCGCAGTCGTCAGCGAGGCCGGGTAGGCGGATGCACCTAACTGGTGCGCAGGCTGGTGGAGAAACCAAGCGGGCCACCTGGGTACACCCACCGCCACCGTTGGAGTCTCCTGGGTTGGAAGGCCCCGGCGGACACCAGCGCAACCAGGTAGACGGGGGCACCTGACTGGTGCGCTTGCTGGTGGACGGCCGCACGCTTGCGCTGATGCCGAGCCTTTGAGAGCCCCTAAGGGCGGCGATTTGCCCATCCAGGCCTGTGTGCCTCGCAACCCTCGCAGCCGGGATTGGTCCCCTGCGGGCCAGGTCGACTCACTGTGCCTCTTGCCGGCCTGCCCCTTGCCCGCAGTCTGCCTCTGTCGGTTCTGCTGCTGCCGCCAGACGGTGTCCCGGTCCACGTCCAAGCGCCGGTTGCTGCAGAAGCGCCAGATGTCGTAGTCCACAGTGGCCAGCGATGGCAGGAAAGCCTCGCAGAACTCTTCGCGGCCTGTAGGATTGTAGGTGCCTTTGCGCTGGCCCTTCCCGTCTCGCCAGTCGCGGGCCGTGTTCCACCCTTCCACGAAAAGCGCACCGCGCATTCCTTTCAGGCGGTTGACCACCTCCGCCCACGTCTCGGTCCTGTTTTCTGAGCGAGACCACATGGGGTGTCATTGGATGCTGGCCTGGGAGGTCCGATACAGCCGTCTGGGCGCTCACCCCATTCTCTCCAACTGGAGGTGCTCCTGGCAGCATCACTCTCGCCCCAGGACGTCCGATGCCATTGGCGGCCTGAGCCCTGGTTCCAACGAGACCAGCCGTCTGATCGGGTGGGTCTTCAGTGTGTCTCAACCTCGTGCGGCACATCTGTGACCGGGGGCCTGGCCGTGTTTTTGGCTGCCTGCGTGGGTTCCACGGCAGCCTTGCCCGGGTCCTCCCGGGTGCCCCCATAGGGCTTGCCCGCTGTGGAGGGCCAGGCGAGGTGTAGCTGACTGGGCCCATCCCATACCGTTAGCCAGGATCCACTTTTGCGGACGCAGAGGTGCTGTCCTGGATGAACCTGTTCGACCGGCCCCAGGACCATCCCCTTGGCGGCGTCTGGGAGGAGGCGCTCTCCCTGATCGTCGGGCAGCGTGAACCAGCAGGAGGCTCGTTGGTCGCTCGCATCGTCTCTGGTGAAGATGTAGTCCCCCGTGCGTACCAGAGGGGGCAAGGCCTTTTGGCATCCCCGAGACCACGGGTCTGACCGTGGGGCAGAAGCCTGCCCGCGTTCCGGCTCCTGCTTTCGGACCTCCGCCAGGTTCATTGGCCGGGTTGTCTGGGCGGTCGCCAGGTGGTGAGGCCGACGGGGCACTGGCGCCTCGGTGCTCGTTGGGGCTGGGATCCCAGTCTGGGGGGTGAGCTCGGGCTGCGGCTGGCGCCCCTGGTCTTGTTGCCGCCATCCTCGGGACTTACAGTCGGCCAGCAGTACTTCGCGACTGGCGTGCGCCAGGGTCTGGTCGGTAGTAGATTCCCCGACTGGGGCCTCGCGCTGGCCGTTCTGGGCGTCCGCTGGCAGCGATTCCTGGCGGCTGGGCTCAGCGGAATCCTTGGCTGCATGCCGCTCAGGCTCCTGCGCGGTGGCTGGTGTCTCTTCCGCTCGCTCTGGCAGCGTGGCGTCGCGCTCCTGTCCCGGGTCAACGCGGCTGCGGTAGCCATCGAGCTGTGCTGCGTCCGCCTGTCTTATGCCCTGGCTGTCCAGGAAGGCCGCCATGGTGTTGGTGTCGTAATTCGCGCAGAGGGTCGGTGCCTCTGTTCGTGGTCCTGGTCCCGAGGAAGCTCCTCCAGGTCTGCTTGAAGTGGTTGTCGACTGTTTTGATCTTGCCCTTGCCCGCTACCCCCCAGGCGACGATATCCGCCAGAGCAGCGCGCTTCCCGTCCCAGAGGTGTTTGCCGGGTACCCCGCTGGTTAGAATGTCGCCGTCGTAGACCACATCCAGGAAGGCCAGGCACTCTCCGCATCCAGCATTGGGCGTCCTCCGTCCTTTGCCCGTATCTCCCGTGTTCCCTGGCTCGCCTTTCCTCGACGAAGTCCCGCCATGCCTCGTCGATCTCGTAGTGGAGCTTGCGCTGCGGGCATGGTCGACCAGGATGTGGGCGATGTCCTGGTCAAACCTGCCCCGTCTCGCTGAGGCGCGGATCAGGCCCGTGGCCTCCAATGTGGCTTTTTCTTATCTGCACGCCAGGCCTGGACAGGCGGGGGGGCGGGAGCGGCGCCAGGTCGGCCAGCACCGCCGCCGGGTTCTCGGGCCTCGCTGGGAGCTGGACGCGCGTCTCGTGCTGGATGTCTGGCGGCTTCAGTGCCGGCCAGATGGCACCTGGTTGCAGGAGGTGGCCCCCGCGCAGCGCTCTGGGTCCCAGGATCTGCAGAAGACTGATGGGGTGTCCTCGTCCAGCCACGCGGGCACCACCTTGGCGACACCTTTGGGGAGGGCTGGGTGGAAGTTGTCCCAGGCAGCGCAGTTCCCCTCGGATTGGCTGATGGCCCATTCCACCAGGTGTGCATAACAGAACTGTAGGCATGTCCCGTCCCATGTCCATGCGTCCTGGTCCAATGTAGAGAACAAACGCAGCGCACTGGGAATGGGTGGGTGGGATGGCTAGGATGTCAGATGTGGCGCGAGTGTACCTATCGTGCCTCTCTTCTCTCTCCTCTCTTTTCTCTCCTCCTCCTCCTCCTCCTCCTCCTCCTCCTTTTCTACACTTATTCAATATGAGTCCTACTCCCCTCTCTCCTGACCCTATACAGAAGATGCTCCTCCCTCTCTGCGTATTGTTTAATTACGCAGGGTTGGGCAACAGCATTTTTTCTTCATTCTTGCTTGCGATCCGATTGTTTTCCGTGTTCGAGCATGGTGTTCCCGCCGCAACGTGGGCCTCATTTTATCAGAGAGAGAGAGAGAGAGCGTGATCCACCGCCGCTTTATTATGGAAAATTGCCAACCTTTTCCTCCGGAACCCGGGGGTCGCCCCCCCCCCCCCCCCCCTCCGAAAATCCCCCCCCCTGCTGGAACCCCTCCCCCCCCCCGTAAGGGGTACATCTGGGACTATTTGGGAACGACTGCGGTGGTGTATGTGGATCTGTTCGGATTCGTTTTTCCTTCCTCCCTCTTCCTCCTCGTTTTTCCTTCCTCCTTCTTCCCTCCCTCCATCCTTCCCTTCTTCTCCTCATCCTACCTCCTCCCTCCATCCTTCTTCTCCACATGCTCGGATGGAGCATGCGTGATTCGCTTCATGGGAGGGGGGCGGAAAAGCTTTGGGCCTCCCGGAAAAAAAAGCAAGAAAAACAACGGAACATCGTCGCACACCTCTTTTTTTTTGTTTCCGGGGGCGGGGCGCGCGCGGGGCAAAACAAATAAAAAATGAGGCGCGCGACTTTCCCCCCCGAGGAGGCCCAATTTGTTTCCGCCCTCCCTCCCATGAAGCAAATCCCGCATGCTCCTCCCGAGCATGCGGGATTCGCTTCATGGGACCGCGGCCTCCACCCATGAAGCGAATCCCGCATGCTCTCTTCCCTCCTCATTCCCCCTGCCTCCTCCTCATCCCCCTGCAGGAGCTCCGGGGCTCCAGGCCTCCCGAGGAGCCTCCGGGCTTCCAAGAGGTTTTGAGGCTCCTCCCAGGGGGCTCCGGAATCTCCCTAGGAGCCTCCGGGGCTTCAAGTGGCCTCCGGGTCTCCTCCCAGGGGTTTCCCGGGCTCTTCTAGGAGGTTCCAGGGCTGACAGTGAGATTGATATTGATATATCGGTAGTGAAATCAGTAGGTGATTATAGTTTTGTCGTCACCCCCTCCCCTACTTCCTCTCTTAATGCTCCTCGCTGTCATCTTCATCGCCGCCCGCCTGATTATGTCCTTCTCTCTCATCCCTCCTTTGCTTGCCATGCTGCTCGCTTTTTTTTGGCTTGTCCAGCGCTCCTCCAGTGCTTCGCCGCAGCCTGCTTCAGCAGAGCCATGGGCAATCCCAAGAAGGGCACGAAGGCGTACAAAGAGAAGCTC